GAAAGAAAATATTATGTTATTGGGAGAGGTATTTACATTTAGTATATCGAATAAAATTGTCTCCAACAAAGGATACTTTTACGTAGCAAAAAAAAAAAAAGTTATGTTGGTGGGAGATTTATAAGTATTTTTGTAGATGTTTTTGAATCCTAGAAATACGTCCTAACTTTGACAAGTTGGGGATCCAACTCACTTAAGATTTTTTTTCTATCAAAAATTCTTTATGCCTTTTTTGGACCAAGAAGAAAATGTTTATATTACTATATGGATTTGACAATGTTGAACTCTATATTATATGGTAGTTTTAATTTTTCCAGGGTATCTAATGCTCCGTAAGAATTTTTTTTCATATAAATGTATGTACTATGTTTTTTTTGAAAAAAGGATCAAAATGCATTAATCATCAGAAGCAACATTAGTACATACAATCATACGCAGTAGTACTCTTTCTAGTGATATAAATTTATGTACTAATTCTATCATCAAACATCAAGTTATATTTATAAAAAACGTAGATATATCCTCAACTTTGGTTTACGATGTTATACGAAAAAAAGACAAATGGTTATTTTGCTAAATTTGTATTTATTTTTCTCTCGTTTTAATATATATTTCTTCTAAATTAATTTTATTTTACTAAGATATCGTCATAACAAATGGAAAATGTTTTAATGAAAAAATTCAATCAAATAAAAGTGTAATAATGTAAGGTTTTCTAATGAAACAAATTCCAAATAAAATAATCAAAAGGAAGTTCCACTTTTAAAGCATGCTAACAATATAATTTACTAATTTATACTGAATCTTTTCTTCCAAGGTATTGGTAGGAAATGTTTATTTCCATTTTCCACCTTCTTGGTTCCCAAGTAAGTGGATCGATCTTCTCTTGGGCAGCATGCCAAAGAGAAATTATTTTATATTATCATCTTCTGATTTGTATCCAGTAAAATAATATGCATCAAGCCTATTTAGCCCGCTAGAAAGATAAAATAAATTGACCTTTAAAAATGGTATCCTAATCCTAAATATTAGATGCCAAAAACCGAATTGGTGATTAAATCAGTTGAGAGGCAGTAATTAAGGAGAACAACGAGGTTATTTTAGGCTTAATAAAAAAAAATATATAAAATTTAATTTGATCAACTCATCCAAAATTTTTGATCCCATCAATTAGAAAGTTGATCGCCATTGAGTTAACTCGGATTGAATTTTAATATTGTGATCCTAAATAACAAAATGGGCAAATTTAACCCAGTCATTCAAAATATCCTCAACCACTTTTTATTACAAAAAATTACCTTTAAATTTCCCCAGTTACATTTTTTGAATTAAAGATTACTAAATTTTGTAATTAACAGGGTTTGTTTATTAAGATATTCAAAAGTCGAATACTTGAGAGGAGCGTTGAATAATGCAACTTGCTATGCGTATTTATTTGTTGAAGGTGTTTGGTGTGGGCCCAAGCGTGCGTCTCGCACAGTGCAAACAAAACCGACAAAGTGCATTGGTGTTCCCTCCAAGTTTTGTTTTAAAGTATCTTTTATTTCATATATGTGACCATAGAAAGTAGAATATTTTAGGCATCTTTCATTGCTTGACATCCAAGGAATCATTCTTTCTACTTTTTTTTTTTCCAATTTGGAAAAAGGTATCGTTGAATTGAAATGGGGATGGTAATTTAGATTTTACTTTGCGGCATGTGATTTGCGTTGTTCTTCTTCCGTTTGGTTGAGATTATTATTTAATGTTAATTAGGTCAATGCCTGATCATATCAACTTTAATAATTTTCTTATGTTAACACAATAAGCATTCCCTCTTGCAAGAAAATTAATTATGTGTAACAAATACACGTTGATTTCCTTATAATATGTTGCCTAATCATGTGTATTATAATTATTTCTTGATAAAAACCTCTTAACTTTAATATATGTGATCTGTAGAGATGTTTTAAGAAAAAAATTATAAATTAAAAAATGAAATAGATTGAGATTTTATATTTGGATAAATTGCAAAATTTCAACCGTCATGTATAAGTTTATAAATCTTAATTTACATTATAAGAGTTTATACAAAAATTTACAAATATTTATAGGTAAATTTACAAGCATACATATGCATTTTAACAATTAATAATATTAAAATAAGAATAAATTTATATGTGTGATTAGAGAATTTGAAATAATAGATATAATTACTTGACTTAAGTTTTGTCTTTTCGTTTTTAATTCAACATATTCATATTATCTTGCTTCCTTAATTCCTTGACTTTCTTTCTTTCTAGTCTTTTTCATGGAATAAAACAATAACAGAATTAATAGTATGCTTAGTTTCAAGTCGAGAAATACTAAAATTATAGTATTATGTTATTTTAAATAATACGTACGAAACTATGAATGGAAACTTATTTGTCTAGTTTTTGCATGTTTAGAGTTTATCTATAGTTCATTTCTTGTCTGTTTGTGCATGTGGGTTTTTTTCCCCTAAGCATATGCATTTTTTTATTGAAAATAATCATATTCGAAGTACTATTAGATACTAAATGTCAACATCTCTTCTAGTGAAAATTTAAATCATTTTATTAGGCCTAGCCTTATTGGTATGTGAATGTTGTTTTAATTATTTATAATGATGAAACTTCAATAATTTTCTACTGATTTTTATTTTTTTAGAGAACAGATTATTTATATTTGTGTGTACATCTTTATAAAATTAGATAGAGTTATGATTTAGAGTCAAATTTAAATTTGTTGGCAAAAAAAAAAAGAATCAAGTTTAAATTTAAATGTGAAATGTGAGCCTCCCTTTAGTTTGATTTGGAGATCATCTACAAAAGTTAACTACTTGGACCAAGCCCAAGAGGCTTTGAAGCCCTCTTTTTTTTGTTTTTTAAATAAAATATAAAATAGGAGAGGATGGTTCTCCACGCAATGGAATTTTTATATCTCACACACTTAGATTTTGCCATCTTCCTTCCACTAACACTGCCAATAAAATTCTTATGATTCTGGACCATCTGAAAATATGCTGAAATTTGTAATATTCAACTCCTTATGATGGAAAATTGAGATTTTCTTTAATATGGTATCTAAGCTTTTTGTTCTAACAATTCATGTTAATATAAGTTGAGGGATTTTTATCTCTCAAGTTATTGAGTTCAATTCTTAATTTTACTAATAGTGCAAGTCTAATTGGGCCTGTTCTTCAAGTAACTAATTTCTAGTTTTTAACTAGGGGTGTTTATAGAATCTAATTATCCAGTGTGCTCACACAAACCCACAAAAAAAAAAATGCATAGCCCATCCTAAGAAAATGGCTCAAAAAAATACTAGGCATGCTTGGGGCAGGCAAATTATATAAAAAGGGCCAGGCATCAGGCACGATGACATTTGGCCCTGCCTACAAAAATATATATAATTTTATTTATATATATTTTATTCGTCTCCCATTTACCTTATAAGTCAAACGCACTGCTGTATCACTGTTCAATGTTCACTATACTTATTTATTTTAAATGATTTTGATAATGAGATATCTTATCATTTACTGGGATTTGTGTGGCCGTTCTCTTTTTTAATGCAAGTATTATGACCATTGGCGATTTGTATATTGGTATATAAATAATTATATATCGTTTATTTTGAACATGGCTTCACCATAATGCCCATGGAAGCATAATTGAGTTATTTTGAAATTTAAAGTTTCTTTTGCTTCTTATTTTTCTAAAATTGCTGTCTCTATTTGGTTAAAACTAAAAGTTAATTAGGATAATTTAAAAATTTATTAAACCAAAACACAAAGATTTTTTTTTTTTAATGTAACTGATTCCATCCTCTTATGAACATTTGAGACTTATGAAAAAAATGACATTCATATTTTATTAAGAAATTTTAGAAACTAGTAAAATAACTAAGTTTAATAAAATATATAAATAACATTTTTTTTGTCATAGTCCACTCCTTTTAGCTACTACAAAATATAATTTAATAGCAAAGTAATTAGAAATAACTAAATTAAGGCCAAGTTGCTATTTTAATACTACCTCTGGTTCTTAACATAAGACTTCGTTTGACTTTTATTTTGATCTTAAATATAAGACCCCAATCCACTTTGTCTCTAATATTTATGCATTTTTCTTAGGATAGTACTTCTAATAATGATAGTTTTAGCTAATATACTTGATTAGCAAGAATATTTTAGAAAAGACAACACCTATTTATTACAAATAACTAGTTTAATTTGTTTTCTTAATCTTCTTGAATTAGTCAACTAGCTCTTCTAATTAGAACTAGAGATAGTATAAAGTTATATTAGATTACTTAGAGGGATATAAATAATTAGTTGATAGTTAATTAATATAATATATTGATTTGTTGGGTGTAGACACCTATTCTGCTCAGCCTACATTTTCATGGACAAGAGCAGGCAACATGCTACAATTCATTCTTTGGGCTAGGCATTAGGCAAGAATCTTACCCTACCCAATTCTGTCTATGTGCAATCCTATTCTCTACTATCGATAGAGGATGATTTTGGTCCACATAAAAGTGGAGAGAACTTTTATTTCATGGATATGATTAACTTTTTGCTTATAGATTGGTTGGCTGCAGTGATTAGAGTTTTACATTTAAAATTAAATTGAATTTGTATTATATTATTATATTGAGAATTAGAGGGTAGTATTTAGGATTGGTTAATATATATATATATATATATATATATATATTTGCCAACAGACCATCTAAGAAATATTAATTAGACTTTACTCCTTATGCCTCAAATGTTTTTGGTCAAATTTTGACTTTAAAAAATTGCAAATTTCTGATAAACATACGCGCACATATATTATTTGCGGACCCACATCCGGTGTCTGCAAGCAAGGATTGACCATACATATACGTATACGTATACATACATATACATCTCCCACACGCGCGCGTATTTTGCCAGAGTCTGGACCATATATATAGATATGTCTATATCGACCGACGTCGCTTGTAACGAACCGTTGAAAGAACTCGAGCGATCGGTGGTGTTTTGTTGGTGCGAAACCGGGAATTGTGGATAATGAGTTTTCTTGCGGGAAGGTTAGCAGGGAAGGAGGCAGCTTATTTTTTCCAGGAATCCAAACAAGCGGTGGGAAAATTAGTCCAGAAAAATCCTAACGCCAGCAAGAGTCTCGAGGCGGTCCCTTCTTCGTCTGCTGCGGAGCACGAAGGTCAACATCACGCCGACGTGCTTCCTGAGGTCCTCAGGCACTCCTTGCCCTCAAAGGTGTTCAGAGATGACACCGTTTTAAATTCCTCCTCCTCCTCCTTCAATCCCGCCAAATGGGTCCTTCCTTCCCAATCCAAAGCTGTCTCGTCTGTGTCTCCCGATGCTCTCAATCCTCTCAGAGCTTATCTCTCTCTCCCTCAAGTCACGTTTGGCCCCAGAAGGTTTTCTCTTTCTCTCATCTAGTGTGGTATGGGAATTGGGAATGATTTTGTAGTTCGTAATTAGAAATTCAGTTGCTTATTATTCAAGACTTTGATATAGATTCTGGATTTGTTTAGTGCTAAAAGCGAAATGCTGGTCAGTGATCCATTTTTTCTGGATTTCTTCTAAATTTGACTATTTGAAGTATGAACTTCCGATATAAATATACACAGCATGCATGGAGTCATTTAAATGGTGAATTCTCCAATTGGTGAGTTGATTTGCACACATTGTAACCTGATAGACACTATCAATTTCTCAAGAAATTGGGAGGATACATGTCCGTGCTCATTTACCTGCATAGCAATATCTTTGCTGTGATTTTGTTTTGCCCTGTTGGAGAAGGAATTTTGATAGCTGTTCATAGTTTGTCAGCATTTATGGTCATTTCTGTTCAACATGGGTAGACCAAAACTTGAAGTCTCTAACATTCTGTTTTCATAGCTTCGCTGACATATTGAATTTGTTGCCTTTAGTGCTTAACTCATTTTCTAGGCTCTTTGTTCTTCAAGTGGTGAGTGCTCCTTTTTGTTTTTGTTTTCCAATGAGAGCTGTTAATAATGTTTTTTGTAACCTAATGGTTGCAGATGGGAACTGCCTGAAATGTCGCACTCAGTCTCAGCCTCAACTGCTAATGAATTGCATCGAGATAGGCATACTACGCCTATTAATCCGGAGAAGATAAAAGCTGCAGCTGAAGGGCTTGCAAATGGTACATTTTGTTGTTCTCTGTGTCTTGTTATGTGGCAAAAGCTGTTATGGTTTTACCTATAGATGCTTTGTCCTTCTTGGCATTTAGATACAGGGAGGGACAATTCTTCACAATTGAGGCAGAAAAAGATGGAATCTTGGAATTCTATCTCTGAAGCCACAAGAAGGAAATGTTTACTCTTTTCAAACATAGGTTGCCTGATTCATTGCATCAAATAAACAGTGACATAATTTATGTATTGCTGGTGCTTTTATAGGGGTTTTGTAAGTTGTGATTGGGCTTAAGGTTTTTTATTTGCGTAGAGAAATTATGAATTAATACAAGTGTGTCTGTATGTGAATGGAATAAGTTGTAAGAGTCTCTGCCTCTGTGTTTCTTTTGTGAGCATGCATTTAGCTTGAAGTTTAGACTCTGGAATGCAATAACAGGATTAACAATAAAGTTAAAACAAGTAAACTGTTTTGCTTTAATCTTTTCAAAAGAAATAGGATGGAATGATTTCTGAGTGTGTAATAGGTATCAAAGATTCATGCTTGAAAGAATTGAATTTGATAAAACTTTCTTAAACAGAAAGTTCTATACTCCTGACTTGTGGCTTTGAAAACTGGTGCCAAAGAAAGCTCCACATTCTTGCTGGGAACCTTCTATAAAGTTCAATACCAATAAAGCGTTATAACCAAATAGTTGCTTTTCTGAAAAAGAACAATACCTCATATATTCTAAGTTTTCGTACATGAAGACAAACATATCTTGCAATTTTTATTTTTGTGAGAATGCATTGAAAAATTGCTTTATTTCAATGCCTTTTGGATTATTCTTTATTTTACTGTCTTAATTTTTCATCAACACTTATTTCAACTATGTTGTGCTTGCTGCACCATGCCAGTGGTGTTGAGTTTTCATTGGGGATATCCCTTGGAGGCCAATTTTTATAATGCTGCTTATGTTTCATTTTGGCTTTTCTAGTTGGAAAGGCATTTGCTGTTGCCACTGCAGTAGTATTTGGTGGAGCTACATTGGTATTTGGAATGGTAGCCTCCAAGTTAGATCTGAAAAACGTAAGTACAACTAAGTTATTTTTGTTATCAAAACTGGATTGATTGGCAACTTAGTGAAAAAGATGGTTTTGTTGGTCTAACATTTTGGGTGTATAGAAATGTCATTGGATTTCTTTCTTTCCTTTCCACTTCCAACTCCCAGAGGCATATAGCCTTAGGATTGTGCTTCTGAGCATCTGTATCTTTTCATTTTTTTGTTCTCCTTTCTCTTTTCCTTTGGGTATGGGAATTGATTATATTAAATACCCCTTCTTGTCCTACGCATAAGAGTTAGTCAAGGAATTTTTCATGGCTCTAAGTGTAAGACTTCAATCCTCTTTGTCAAATTTATAGTTTTCCTTTTTTCTAAACTCTCCCTATTGATTGCACATATTAAGGGGGTTTTCTAGAAGGAGGTATAGTTTTTAATGCCAATGATTAAAATGAGTACTTCGAAGAAACCAACACATTTTTTTTTTTTATATAAAACTAACTTAAGTAATTTTTTTTATTTCTGCGAATTAGTTATTTAGTTCCTGTATTTAGGATCGGAGGGAATACTTATTTACACAAAGCCTTAATCATTATGACAGCTTGATGACGTCAAAACTAAAGGAAAAGATGCAGTTGAGCCAACATTTGAGAATATCAGAGAGCAATTAACTCCCTTGAAAATTTGGGTAAGCTCAAAACCATATTTCTCTCAACCTATGTATGTTCGTTAATGGCATGAGCATGAGCATGGGTATTACTTGGGTATGCAGGCTGAGAATACGAGTAAGAAATGGCATTTGGAAAGAGAAGGAGATCTTAAACAGAAGCCAATCATAAAGGAACTGTCTAGAATGTTAGGTGCCAAAACTTCTGATTGACACCGTCTCTTTTTTCTTTCTTATATTTTTTGTTCTCTTGAAGATGTTGAAAATAGGAGATAGTAAAATGTATAGGTATCCTGGTTGGAGTGTGCCTCTGACTATTTTGTGTTGCAGTAAAATTTGAAGAATAAAGGTGAAAGTACAAACTAGAATATGTTGTAAAACTATGTCATTGCATGTGAGATAGTGTTGTTCGAATGATCAAATAATTCCTTTATACTTTCAGGCAGTGAAAATCCCCCCCCCCCCCAAAAAAAAAAGATGGCACTTTGAGAGGTACTCCCTCTGTTTCAAAATATTATTTTCTTGGCAAAAAGGTTTTGTTTCATTTTAAATGTCCTCTTTAGAAATTTAAAGCAATAGTTATTACTAGTTTTTACTGAAACTTTAGGGCTTGTTTGGTATAAGAGGAGGGGAGCGGGGTGGAAGAGGTAGGACGAATTTTGCTCCCCTCCCCATGTCTGGGTTGTTAAAGTTTTTAGGAAGGGGAACTTTCTAAGATTTTCCCTCTTCTCTCCTTATAACCCTCCCCTCCCAAATTGGGAGATTCGGAGGAAAAAAGATAATATTTTAGCTTACTTTGAGTCTTTGACTAATTTGCGTATAATTCTGATCTTATATCACGCGAGGAGGGGATGGTAATTGTTATATACTTATGAGATCATATATCAGATCACAAAAAATTTTCTCCCCTTTCTTGTCCTTTTATCAATCCAAATAAGATAATATTAAAATTCCTTTTCTTTCTTCTCTTTCCTTCCTTTTCATCAAAATCTCTTTCCTTTTCTCCGCTCTTTTGAGCCAAAAATACCCCTTATTTACTCAAGCAGATTTAATTTTTTTGACGCGAGTAAATTTGATTATGTAATTATTCAAATTTTAATGTATTAATTAATTGTGTTATTGATGATATCCAAGATAAGATATATTCCTGGGCAGATTTAGAAAAAGCATTTTAAAAGTCTTTCTTTTTCCCTAAACACAACTATTATTTTATTGGAGATAATTTTGTTTGAGACATTATTGAGTACTAAATGTAAATACCTTTCCTTGCAAAAATTCCAACCTTTCAACGTCTTTTGAATCATAGTAATTGACACTTTATTATACAAGAGATGCTTGATTTTTTATCTATATATCAATATATATATGTATATGTAAAATAAAATTTAGAGCAACTTGTATTATTTGTAAACTATAATTAATTTAACTCATTTATTAAACTTCATGTATATGTAGTGCATGACAAAACGTCTAGCTATAATTTTAATTATTATTATGTATAAACGAATTCCCCTTAAAATTTGACGAGAATAATGTCAAGAATAACATTGATTTCTTTTATTAATGACTTATATTATGTTGAAAATAAGTTTTAAAGCTTTTCTTTCAAATTTTGTATATTTATATATTTATAAAAAAAATTAAATTAGAATAAACTATTTTTATAATGGTTAAATATGTATTAACTATTTTCATTAAAGAAAACGACAATGTAGATTTTCTAAATAAAGAAGAGATTAGTGTACTATGATAGTATCTCAAGGACCAGAGCAGAGTAAAATTTATTTACTCTAAAAATTAAGAATGGCATGTAAAATTACAAACAAAAATTATCACTCTAATACAAAGCAACGTATCCTTGTCAAGAAAATTGAGAAACATCTCTGAAAGACTGAAGTTTTTCAATGATTTTCAGTTCTGTCACTTCCAATGAATGAAAATAAAATAAAATTTAAAACAAAGAAGTGCCAAACTGCATCATCCCTATCTTCTGTTGAAATATGAATCATCCTTAAAAGAAGCCAGCTAGAGCTTGTAGTCAAGTCCAGCTCCATATTTCCAAGACTCAAGATTCCTCTTCCACTTGAATCTCATCTTGGAAGGTAGTGATTTTAAGAATGGCCTTGCAATACATACAACATATAAGAGTGATGGAGATTATACAGTAAGTAGAAAGATTAACTTGTTGAATGCCTAAAACAATTACCTCACAATAGGGCTGGCATAAGTAGAGAGAAAAGTGTAATAGCCAAGCATAAAAAAATGTCTGGACCAGTCAAGAAGCACAGGAATACCAACCTGAAACAAGACATCAAATTTAACTTGCATGCAAATGAGAATTATTTTCCTTATGCAACTTTCACTATATTATTAGCAGCTTTTGTTGTTGCTAACTCAAGTGTAGTTTCTAGTTGTCTGACGCTAGGTTTTCTCATAAAAGGACTAAAAGGAGGCTTTTCACTGTTCACTTTTGCAGAAGCTGCCCACTTAAGACGTGTTCCCAAACAAATCCCGAGAAAAGAAAGAGAAAATAACTAACAAGTAAACTCATGAATTACCTGCTTGAATATTGATGGGAGTATTTGAGGCCTAGTTAACATGACCAGGCCTAAGGTCTTTGAAAGAGGACCAAACTGTACAACATCCTGTAATAGTGTCAATGAGTTTAATCATTCAGGAAGAATATATTACCAACCCAATGATATGATAGAACACATCCACAAAAAACAGCAATTCAAAAAAGAATCATCAACCTGTAGAAACGGTCGTAGCACTGGATCTCCAAGCCTCTGAAAAGGTTGTCAAAAAGATGAGCTTTAATCATGGGGAAGAAAATACAAGTCTGTAAATCACTGTTTTAATCCTTCTATGGTTTAGCTTTGCTCCCCTTTGAAAGAGTAATGTTACATAAAAGCCCAAAATGAGATAGCCTTAAAAAAGAAAACATTTTGTGGTATTTTTCACATGAACAATTTCATTGATGAATATCTCTATTTCACTTTGTTACATAGATTATGTGGACAATTACAATTCAAAATTTTAACTCCATTCAAGTTGTAGCCTTCAAAAACTATGAAAATGTTTGAGGTACGCATATCACATTCTAGCATTGGAAACGAACTATGTCTCTCAAAGACAAAAAATCTCACACGACAGTTAAAGAGTAATGGAACTAACCATAGGAGAATCATGAGACACTTCAAACCATATGAACTAAACTATAATATTTAAAGGGGCAAGCCCACCTGCATACAGTCGAAATTGGCGTAAAGTAGTTCATTAATAAAATCTGGGGAAACATTGGACGGCTGCTTTGCTGACATTGCTCTTTGAAACAGCCATGAAGCACTCAAGTTTGGCTGAATTACCCAAAAGCTAGTCAGGTTTCATATATAGTTGCTGAATGATTATGACCATTCATAGAGCAGCAAAGTACCATGTATGGGTTCAGCAGAGACAAGTTGTGTGAGTCAAGATAGTCACCACCGATTGCTTCATATATTCCTTCATTATAGCAAAGTAAAGAGGTAATTAGATAATCTCAATGGTTAAGGCTCAACCAACCATTTGGTCCTTACATTTTTAGAACTATTTAGCTTTTATCACTTAAAATTAGTGACTTCATGAGTTAGTTTCTGAAAATGGCAAAATCATATTTTAGTCTTCTTGGGATTTTTGGTACTCTTCATTGAAAAATTAAAATGCAATGAGTTTGTTTTATAGATATATTTTTTGGAAATTAAGGTGGTTTGGACGGGCCAATAAAGATGCTAGTGAGAAGCGTTGAGTAGATGGTTTTTAGCCTTATGGAGAGATATAGAGGAGACCAAAAACGATATTCAAGGAAGTTATTGAATAGGATCTCTTGGTGCAATCCATGTGGTTGATATTAGTGGGATGACACTCATGAATTTTTTCACACTAAAACTGAATACTATTTTATTGTAAGAGTTTATAGGCACTAGTTTAAATAATGTAGAGAAAAGGAGAGGCAGACAGTTCCATCAAGCATAAAAAAATTAACAAGTGAAAAGTTTCACTTTCAAGATGCAGCAAAGTTCGTACCTTCTGACAATCTACCAAGGTGCCTCGTCAGGCTACCAAAACCACCAAATGATACAGGTGACTGTATGCCACTAGCGTCACCAAACTACATAAATGAAGTTTCATTGCTTATATTAACTGGTGGCTCTCGATGATTGGATTTTGAAGTTAAAAAAATATTATTTACCTGTAGAACCCTATCAAAAGCAGCTGGTAACGGACTGTCAAGTTGCTCCACATCACCAAAGAGGATTAGGTTTCATGAAAAAGATGTACCAAAATGGAGAATGGTATCAGGTATATTAATGGAAAAGATATCAATGTGAAAGAGTATTACTTCATAAGAGTAACAAAGAAAAAAAGAAAAGTATGGATGAGAAAATTGATGCATATTAATGAAAAAATATCAATGTATAAGAGTGTTACTTTATAAGCAACAAATAACAAAAAATGTTGGCACGAAAGGGGGGGGGGGACATTAATACAAACAACAGTTGGCTGCATTGTTTTACCATGTGTTCGAAATTAACCAAAAAACTTTAAGCAGAACGGAAACAAATAACATCTATAATGATGACAACTTATGGATACTTGTACAATAATTGATCTGGTACATTTCACTACCTGTTGCGGTATGTTGGAAAGATGCCATAAATGACTCTCAGTATCTCCAAATTGTCAAGAGAAACACCCTATCACGTAAAAATTGCATATTACGATCTATTGTTTTTTTATAAGTATTGTGGTGTGCAAGACTGAAAAGAAATCTTGAAGGCTATAAGGTAAAGGGCTAAATAATGGTTTTATGACTGACATTACCCATATTCTAGTTCGGTTGCTTAGAATAGGAATTGCAGATTTATATGTTGATTGAGAAAAAAATATTGTTACTTCTTTCATTTAATAGCTAGCTTTATACACAAGCTTGTGATGGTGCAGATTAATGACCAAAATATGGTTCTTTCTATTCCACTGTAAGGGATTCTATGAATTAAACGAGTTGGACGACTTCAAATATTGCTCTAGTTGTCAACCACACAAAACATACTACTAGAGACGATATTACGGTTCCCTTGAAATAGATAGGCAACTGCCCCAAAAGACAAAAGCAATGATGGCATATCAGAAAGGTAACCTGATATTCTGGCATTAAATCCCAGTACTCTTCTAGCAATTCTTCAATTTTGGGGGCTTTATGCTGGGGTTCCACATAAGTGAACATGTAAGTAGTACGATCCATGGGACCTGAGCCAGCTGGAAATGCCTGTGAACTTTTCAGAGGAAGATCATTCTAAATAATCACATAATGATAATATAATTTTAATATAACGTTATAAAAAATTACCTCCCAGAAAAATTGTGCTTTGGAATTTCCTACTGATTTTACTGATGAACTGCTGTATATGACATCACTAGTTGAATTATTCTTAAAGCCACGTGCACAGGTTCCAACGACAAGGCAAACACCATCAGGCTTCCTCCCACCTCTTATCTGTAAAATTATTGTACAGGACACTGGAGAGGATATTCAGGCCAAATTTTTAACATGTAACAGTAATTTCATTTTTCCTTGAATTATGTTTGTGCACAAATTAAACTTATGGGTTTACATTAATTCCATATTTTCAGTGCATCAACTAAGATCATCACCTGTTTTACAACAGGGGAAAAGTTCCCCATTGCATCAATTATAAGACGAGATGACAATGTTCTGCCCCCAGAAAGTTTTAGGACCTGAAAGGAAAATTATACAACCATTCAATTCACATTTGGATATTGTTGTGCAATAGTAATACTGGTTTTTATCCCTCTCAGCATTTCTGTCACAGCAAAGAATTAGAGCTCAATTGGCTAATCCAGGACAAACTTATCTCTTCCAATGATGAAAACCCTAATAATAAAATTGTGAGATAGATAATGCAGGCCATGCAGGTCTTGATGTGTTTTAACAGAGTTTATAAACAAATGACGAAGGAAAGCCCATATGTCCAAAACATTTATCTGCCATTTATTTTTCAAAGGATATAACTGTGTTTTATGGATACTCTTTGGTGCTCTAAACATGGTCTTTGTAAGGGAATAACTATTTCTTGACATGCAAAGAGATTGTGCAGCTCTTCAACATTTTTTCCCCTTCTTAGTACAATTTTTTACTGTAAGCTAAAATCATTGGAAGGATCTATAGAGCATTGAAGTTTATATTGCATTAGAATAAGTAGACATAGAAGTTAAAGTAAACTCACCGCAGCATCTTCATATACATTAATGGTGGATACACCAACACCTTCATAGATGACTCCACCAAGTGAGACAAATCGTTTTTTTACAATTTCTATGAGTTTTACAGGTCTGCAATGGCATGAAAGAAAAGCACTAAGATAAAATAGCAAAGGGAAATCTAGATCGTCACCACAACAAAATGAATTTTCTAATAGAATTATTCTTATTGTCAATTGTAGGCAGTAGGTGAAAGTAAAATGCTTGCATGGAAGAAGCCTAGATAGAATTTTGGATTCTTGTTTCATGTCTTGTAATGAGATATGATATATGTGCTATCATGGTAAGGACTTCGGCTCCAACAATAATAAACCCTTTTTATATAGTAAAGCAAAACACTCAAGATACCAATCTCACATGACATCATTAATACGGGGGCTTATAGAAGTATCATGGAAGAAACAGGGCACAACGTCTACATCATATTCATTTAAAATGCGTTTGGATAGATGGATTTGGATTTAAATTTTAAATATAGAAGTCTAATAATGGATTTGGCCCAAATCCAAATCCAAGTACCCCCAATCCAAACACAACATTAGGGGATTTTTTTAATAAATTTTTCGGCTTTTTTTTTTCCCTTGGAGAAATTTTTGAATGTGCCGAACGGGAAACTACTAAAGCATAAACTTGGACCCTTTCAGGCATCAAAGTATTTATTCATAACTGAAATCCATGATGACACTTTTTCTTTCTTTGTTGGGATATAAAATGGTAGTACGTGGGAAGAGAGACTCACGAGACACCAAGATTAAGAATGTCCTCAACCCAGATATCACCTTTTCCTTGAAATCCACACCTATTCTGCAGAATCCATGAAATTCCAGATAATAAGTGAAAAAAGAAAGCAGAAAGAAAAACTTTGAAGAGTAAGTCGCATAAATCCTGATGTAGTCACAAAGAAGAGATATATGGAGGGAAATGTCAGTTTAGTTATGCTTCTGGAGAGTTAGATTTTTGGGAGGAAAATCTTGGTGATTTTATGCTCTTTAAGACAAATGACAGTGAAGCAAGACTTTCAGAAAAACTTTCAAGCAACAACTTTAATTGATAACGTTTGCAGCATTGTCTTTTTCAACATGAAGTTGGGGTGATTCTAACATCAGAAATATAAGAAATAAATTTTAAACAGAAAAATATTCTTAGTCCTCGGTATCACAAACACTAATCTCATGCTTATGCTCCACAATCAGTTGGTCCAATCATTCATTACAAATAAAATGCTATAAGAACATAATTTCAATGGATATAAAGGTCTCATAATGAAGCCATGGCGGAATCTCTTCCATAAATGCCCGGAGAATAAAAACTGAAAAAGTTACTTATTTCATAAGTTTTCCTTTTATTTCAATTACACACGTACAACCTACCTTCCCCAAAGGGAAGAGAACTCACACACCCTCCAACAACGACTGGTACGCGCAATCTCACCCATTCGAAGGTGCATCTAGTACCACTAAGCCATCAAGCCTTTGGTAATAGAGGAAAAGTCACAACATATAACAATCATAGAAATATAATAATCGTGTCTAGCTCATTGTTCTTGTTACTGATTTCATAAGTAATAACAGATGAAAAGAGAGTGCATAACAATCATAGAAATATCATAAGCATGGCTAACTCATTCTTCTTTACTCTTTTAAGCAAAAACAAATTTCATCTTTTGACTATTTTGCACAAAAAATAGACCAAGTTGGAATTCTATTGTTGAAGTTCGTGACCTACCATTTATGATGTCAAGAGAATTTCAATCTGTGTTATGTGAGACTATGGAAATACATGTCTAAGTGATTTCAAGACATTTGCTACTGGATAAAATTTATCCAAGGTGATTCTTCCTAAATTTATAAATACCACAAAAGAGAAAAAGTGCAGGAATTTACAGGGTTGAATTTAACCGCCGTGGCTCTTTCAATGTCATCTTGTTCCAGGACTCCAACTTCGACAAGTTCTGAAAGCTCCTTTCTTGATATGTTCCATTCTTGTTCTCTCTAATAATCAAACAATGGAGAGACAACTAGAAATCAATTGATCAACGAATTTCTCAGCAATAGGATAAATTTCGGCATACCCCTTTTAGCACATTCCTTTCAACAATGGCAACTCGAAGACCTCGGGCACTCAAGGCTGTGGCAATGAAGATTCCCAGAGTACCTCCACACACTAACACATCGTATGAGCCTTCTTCTTTGCCAGCCAGATCAGATGACTGAAACATACTCGGAATTGTAGATACAACTTTCTGTGGTTCTTGCACAACTATAATACAGATTTGAAGATTACGAAACATCCAAAGAATCCTTTAATCATAAGAATAATTGAAATTTAAGTGAAACTCTGAGAACCTGATTGAGCCGAACATATGCCAGACCATAGCTGGTCTAATCTTTTCAAGGCTTCATAAGAGTAAGCTCCTCCAGCACCACCAACTTCCCCACTCACTGCAACACTCTCCATTATCCTCTGAAATTAACCCAAAAAAAAAAAATGATTGAAAAAACACATTGTCTTCTCATCATTTTTACATTGTACATGCACCATAAAATGCAATTTGAAATTCTAAAGCACCCTTCTTGCACAGTCAAATAAAACAGAGCTAATAAAAATTCACTTTAAGTGTATGCATCCTTACAACCTGCAGTCGCAACATTTTGAGCAAACTGTATTAAGATATTGGGAAAAAAAAGAAAAAAGAAAAAAAGAAAAAACCTGAGTTCTGGAGGGAACTGCCTGTGCTCTCCAACGCTGAGACCTTCTGCCATTTTTCTGTACCAAAGAACTCGCGGCGGCAAACTGTGATACGCCATCGATAGGGTGAAGATGAAGCAATATCATATCCCAAATCTCTCTGTTTTTCTTATTAATATAGAAAGTGAGAGTAATCGAAGTAAAGCGATTTGCTCTCAATTTCTTTCTCTTGGTTTTTATCTACCACAGCTATATATCTTTTCAGGCAAGAAAATTGCGCACCTGAAGCGGACACGTTTAACGGCTAAAAACTGTCTAAAAATTTCCTCCTTTAAAGATAAAAAAGAAAAGTGACCGGTAGTTCCAGTTTCCAGTGGACTATTATATAACGGGGATGTGTTTTCTTTCCAACCGGATAAACCTCGCACTCACTCTCTTCACTGTTGAGGGTTCAGCACTTGCTCGTCATTCTCGAGTTTTCTTCATTCTCTGAGCATTTCACCGACGTAAAGACGCAAACTTTGTATCGTTTTTCTGCGTTATTTTTCTCCTTATTATGTTTTTCATTGCTCTTCCCATGCGTTTTGTTTGTTTGTTTGTTTTGGGGTATTAATTTTCTTGGGTGCTTCATGGTGAATAAGGCATCAATGGAAGCATTGAATTATTCTGCTACTTATTTCTGGGCTACCAATTACTTTGTCAGAATATGCTTTTAGACGTTTCATCATCGTTTCGTCTTGGTGCTCTTACTCAAGTTTGGTGCTTTATTGGGTCCTCTCAAGTTATTAAACTTTAAAATAATCTTCCATCTTGTTTTCCGTTGGCTGAAAATTTAGATGCAATGTGCTATAGGACCTTCTCAAGTGTCTTCTTTCTTTAATTATTTTCTGAAATAATCTTTGCTGACATAAATCTGAATAAGCTCCGGGTGAAGATGAAGTTGGGAAAATTTCACTGCTCAAAAGCAGTGAACAAGTGGTTAGTTCATGTTGTTTGATTAAGAATGGCGTTTAGATAAGAGTCTCTCTATGGGCTATCCCTTGGTAGTATTAAGAAAACTAGGTAGCCAATAATGGTGACGAGAGTCCTAGCATAGCAATTTTCCCCTCAGAGTTAACTCAATGTTATGGTATAGTCATTTATGTAATCTTTTCGGCAATTAAAATTGAAGGATTTATTCATGTGATTTAGTGAAACAGATTATGATAAATTGACATGATGTCAGAGTTTCTATCATTAGACCAAGCAGTTGAAGATTTGATTTTCGCTGCTTCACAATACTGTTATAAAGTATCAACACAAGGTGTGTGGAGCTAGTATTTTGTTCAAGTCCAAAACGTTTTTGCTTGGAGGGGCATGCATGCTCTCTCTCTCTCTCTCTCTCTGTGTCAATTCATTGCAAATTGAATTTGGTTAGGGTACGTATTAGCCTTGCCCATACCACTTGTAGAACCTTTCAGTGGGTGTCCTTTATGGTGGTTGCAACTGAGGGGTTTTGCCTTTCAAAGATCTGTCCAAAACAACTCTATCTTATGCTCGCACTTACTTTTGACCTGTCAATTAACGAAATATTTGTATCAAAACAAACTCCAAGACAGGTCATTTGTGCCCTGTGTTTTCCTCTTGGCCTCAGAACATGCTAGATTTTAGCCTCTTTTATGTTATGGTTGAATCTGTTTATACCCATTTTAGACTTGCCAAAGCTGCAGGAGCTCTCTCTTTGAAAAATAAATGGTTCCTTTCTTACCAGATTGATAAGAGATTTTAGAAAAAGAAGCATGTTTTACTTCCATACTCAGCAGTGTTCCTTCTCATGTGTATTATTTAACTGGAATAGAAATTCATTCTACCTGCCATAGCAAGTTGAATAAGATTTTAATATCTGATATTTTCAATTCCTTTGAACCTGCCAATCAAATATTACCCTCGTCAAAACAAACAGTCGAGGATAGAAGGTGTTCCGTGCCTTCCCCCCCCCCCCCCTACCATTGGTGAGTATAGATTCTCTTCATTTAATGTCGAGAATGACTCATTTCAAGGGAAATCTTTGTTATTTGCAATTGAGTTAGATGATCAAGATTTCTTTTTTCATTAAAGAATACAAGTTATTCTTAATAGATGTAGGCTGTCTAGATGTCAACTCTCATTCTCCTGTCCAAAATCGAGAGGACGCTTAGGCAGTCTCTTATGATGTATTAGCTTCAATTTTCTTTCATGTTATTGTTGAATCTGTTTACACTGGCTAGTACCAACAGCTATTTCTTGGAGCATTACATGGTTCCTGTCATGTCTGATAGACCAAAGCATATAGAAAAAAGAAGCTTAATAACTCATATTCAATAGTGTTCCCTCTTGTGTGTATAATTAACTGTAACAGTAATTCATGATTTTATACTCTGACCGAATGCTTCTGTTTTTGTTGTCATTGAGGATCCGAAGTCCAAATTGTACTTTCTTACATTAAATTTCATGAAAAGTTTCGCTAGAAGCTTTTAAATGAAAATGTTCCCTGGTATCAAATCAAAAGTTTGGCAATTTAGTATGGCTAAATTCATTCTCTGTTGATCTTATTCCAGATTTGAGCTGTTTAGCAAGTGAAGAACAGGCCTCTATACTCTAAAACAGACATGGCAAGTGTGTTCACAAATCCAACCTCAACTTATTTTCCCGTGAATAGAAAGACAGGTAACTGTGGCATCAAAAGATGTCACATAAAAGCCACCTTGAGAGTGGAGAAGCCATTGGAGGAACTGTACAAAGTGAGGGTGGAAAGGAACGTGTCTGCTGAGAGACTTGCAGAGCTTGGAGTATCCAGATGGTCAGTGTGGAAGACAGGCAAGTGTCGGTTGCCATGGGACTGGCAGGTGGACCAATTGGTGTACATAGAAGAAGGGGAAGTTAGGGTTGTGCCTGAAGGGAGCAAGAAGTTTATGCAGTTTAAGGCAGGTGACCTTGTTAGGTACCCCAAATGGTTTGAGGCCGACCTCTGGTTCAATGGTCCATACCAAGAACGCTATAGTTTTCGAGCTTATGGTGATGATTTTTGAATTTTTTTTAATGAAACCTGAAAAATGGAAAGGCCCTCAAATATTTGTAGTCTATTATAACATTGACTGTGCAATATGAAATTTTCTATTCATAAACCTAGTGGAACTTTGATTGCGGCAAGAATCCAATCAATGTCTACTAATTAGGCTGATATATTTAATTAGTAAGTAGGGTTTTGGTTTTTCTTATAAACAAAATTTTTCAGTCCATACGGATTACATTTCAAGCTCCTGCTTTCCTTTTGTTGCAGAGTATATGTTAGGAGGTATTTGGTTTTTTCTGAAAGTGTTTTTTAAAAATATTTTCACATAAGTAGAGGTAAAATTCTTCTCATATATCGTAAAACTATTTTTAAAAATTATAGTTTTGTTTTCATCCAAAATGATTAAAATCCTTACCATTTTCATTTTTGTCGCAGTTAATTTTTGTTGATCATTGGCCTTTCTTATTTTTTTTCCCATCTCATAACGCCTTTTTTCCCTTGATAAAAAGATTAGTTATACAAAACAAGAGAATTATACAACTAAAATTCATATTAAAGGGATTGGGAAAAGGGGAATGAGTAAAACATCATAACTCCTTTCAATCAAAATACAATATGTATGACATTATTCCAAGTGTCCTCATCTTTCAAGTTGAGTGCTTTCTTTGCTACTTTTTTTTATAAAATCTCATTCTCCTAAACTTGTATGACTTTGATGGTTAGAATTTATACTATATGTGCATATACTTCTCTAGTTCTAAATATAAGAATGATTTTACAAAAAAAAGTTTTATATTTAAAACCGAAAGAGTACTCCTTAAAACCAAGATAATTTAAAAGTAATAGGAATTAGCCCTGAAACTTATTTAAAAGTCAAACTAAAATATATCCAGAACTTTAGTTTTCAATTTTTATTAATTAGTTTTACTTCCTTTTTTTAATCAAAAATCATACCAGAGATAGAATTAAATAATAGCAAAATATATAAATCTGGCAGGAGGTTCTGAACACTCATGCATTAAAGTCTAACAACAAACAGTGGGTATCCTTCTCCTCCCTAATAAACTTTGAAGCCACTTTTCCTGGTCATTATGTCATGGCTGGTAGGTTTGGTGGTTAGCCATTGGTTGATTACAAATTGGATTGCTTGTCGAACATTTATCAGTAGGAAAGCCTTTCTATCCCATTCCCTCTTGCATCTCTTTGAGAATGTTCTAAATATTTCATCTTGCTAGGAAAAACACAAATCAGCACAGTTAAAACACTGATATTTGTATCATTCCTAAACTTGCCAATCTTGATAACCCAATTATTTTTTTGTGATCTCTCAAAATTTGAAGTAGGCTTAGGAATTACAGTTGGGATTCTAACTTCCTTCACATTCCATCTCTGCACAAAATGATAAAAGCCCACTTCTCTACTGATTTGGTTTTTAACAACCTCTGGCTATGAGCGCTTATTATTAACAAATTTCCGACAAATTTGTTGACTCAGTTCCACATTCAAGCTTCCCAATATTTGCATTACCCACTGAGTAATCTGATTATCATTTAGCAAGAATTTAGATCTAAATTCAAAAGACATTCCAAACCAGATAGTTTTGGGCTATTGACAATGGAAAAAAAAATAGATGGTTCCTTGTTTCTTCTTCATGACAAAATATGCAGTCGACATCAATATTGAGATGGTGCTTCTAAAGACAATCTTTGAACGGTAGAGCATTTGTAGCAAATTTCCCCATAAACAATTGAACTCCTAGAAAAGCCCCAGTGCATGTAGAGCCCCTCCTCCACTTCAATTGATATTTTTTCACAAAAAACAAACATGAGGTAATAAATCCAATCTTTCACTAAGATTTCAAATAACTGTCCCGAATTCAAGTTGATTATGTTTCGCCTCTTCCTCGAAGAAAAACGATCAAACAATTCCCAAGTATGGTTCTTGCCAATCGAATTATCCATATAATATACAAAAAGAGATCCCACAACCTCTTTTATTAGAGGGTTTGTTACTAGCTTTTGCATTTAATTCTTCTCAACATCTTCGACTACAATCAACGAACAAAAGTGATAATATTTGTATTTTAGATGTCTCGTACGTCTAAACTACATTGCACTAATAATCAGTCAGTTATTAAGACCAAAACCTAATGAGAGATCCACATATTAGGAGGATTACGGTTTATATTAACCATACAACTTGAGGCTTGCTGGCCTTTGGTAATATATTAATGATTATTTGTGCCTCAATCAGAAAACAAAACGTATAGTAAATCAATAAATATAGATGAACATGTGCAAGAAAGCTGAATTTGGTCATTTCATGATATGATCTCCACTTGGTTTGACTCAACTTGAATCCGTGTTAATTGGTGCTGAGTGCAAAAAAGAAGGCCAAAAAGAAAGCATCCTTTTACCAAAGCACCCAATGCAAAATTGCCATAGACACCCCCCCCCCCAACAAAAAAACAGACTCAACAAAAAACCTTGTTCTATTAACTGAAGCAAACTACATGAATCGCACAAGTTCTATCAACAACTAATTCTTTATACATGGTTTGCGATCCATGTCACGAGGGGCCTGATTTTTTTCACATCAGGAATTAACACAAACTAGAAACCTCTTTATCCGGCCTTGAGACCAATTTATACCAGAGTGTTACCATGCCTACCGCCCCAGTCAATTCAGCCGAAAACCTAAGACTGGACACCCCCATTAACATGAACGCCAAGACACAATAAAACTCCATGCATCGAGACTCTCTGTTTCTGGTTTTTGTTTTTTTCCGTCAAAATAATTTTATAAAATTACTTTTCAAAAAAAAAAAATCGGCTTGGATAATTATTCTAAAAAATTAAATAAACATACTAAGACTGGAAGTTAAAACTTTAATGAGAGCTTAAGTCCTCCAATTGGGGGGGGGAGCTATAAGAAATAAGGGTTTTTTAATTTCCTCAAACGAAAAATAAGAAACGCAAAAACAAAAACAAAACAATTTGACATTGTTTTGGTTTTTTAGTTTTAAAAGAACAGATTTTTTTTGTCTTTAAAAACACCTAACTAAAAAAACATTACCAAACATGTTTTTTATTTTTTTAGGTTTTTAAAAACCAAAAGTTGTTTTCAAAATAAGAAAACAAAGGCATAATTTACACTATTAGCATGAGTCTGGAAACAACGGACTGGCATGGAGAATAAACAGACACATATATCAGGACACGCTTTAGGCTTCCTTATGAGTTCCACGCGAATGAGTACATGAGAGAATGAAACCTTCACCTGCAAAGGCTGCGACGCAATGGAATCACCTTCAATATTACAGAGAGGATAAAATAAGGAAAATGATTGCTTTATGTATCACTGCGCAATGCCAGAACTAGAACTCTAAACAAGCACTGCCAATTATAAATCAGATCCTTTATGGTACATATTATACAACCCATGGATGAAGAGCATAAAGGAAGGAGCCGAGAGCCCGGGTGATGAGGAGAGCCCTCCTTCACAAGACTCATTCCCAGCTTTCTCCAGCAAAATTATACATGCTAGATACTAACTGGATGCATTTACTTTAGTTCTTCATCTCATCATGTGGTCAGGTCTTGCAATTTGCATCCCCAGTACCTCTTAACTTCCAGTAGTTGCTCATTGCTTTGCACTTGAAGTGATGGTAACAGAAGACGCAAACCTTGAAACCAGGACGGCCTCATTACTGACAACCTTAGCCGCTGCTACATCTTCTAGTTTCTTCCATATGGATTCTCTCTTGTCCTGTTTTTCCCTCTCCTTGATTTCATCTTGTTGGAATTTCACCAAGCACTCGTCAAAAAGCGCCTGATCAGCATCTGAGAATATTTTTCTCACGTTAAGGGTCAAGCTCTGAACTGCTTGGTTCCAATGGCCCCGTGTATTTTTCTCCAAAGCGGGGAAGATTATAGGTAGTATCACCTGGCTGTTTTGCGTAATCAAATTCCTGATATGATCATTGTTCCATAGAAACAAAGCCCGTTCGGCTACCTGCCAGCAGAACCAAGTCAATATCAAATCAAATGTCAATGTACAACTCCCAAGTGAATTTAAATTGCTTCTCAGCATTTTCCAACTATAAGTAAAAGAAGATGCATAAAAAGAAGTGAAATTTGCAGTTCGCATATCAAATCAGCAAGTAACTCAGAACCCAAAAATGTAAACTTCTTTGTCATTCCCATGCAAATTTCACTTCGAAACAAGAATGACAGAAATTGAGTAGAAAAAAACACACCACAACTTATTTTCTTCAAGTGAATCAGGTCATTCATCATAGAGCATTTGAATTTCAATTATAATACATAGAAAAATAGAAAATAAGATCTTCTCCCCAGTTATGATGGGAACCGAACAATACTCCAAAAACGAAACAAAGTACAACATTAATGTTAACCCCCCCAGAAGGGGGGGAAAAAACAAAGGCAAAGCACTGCAGTAGCAGAGAAGCCTTTACACAAACAAGAAAATATGAAGAAAGATACAGTTCTAGATCTTTGAGATGCTAGCTATCTCCCAAAGCCATTGCATAAGTCTTCCCATAACCACTGCCCACATCTTTCAGTCCTTACAAACAGAATGACACGTACTCTTCTCACAACCAACCTTTCCCTTACTCCCACTCTATTCAAGGGTCCATTGTTACCGAGCCTTCAAAGCTTTGCCATATGAAAAGTAGAAGTTGGGATCAAACCAGTGGCTTCTTTTCAATAGGACCTTGTACTTGCTTCCCAAGGTACCAACCAAGCATTTCTTAAATCCACATCGGGTTCCCCAACTTCAACAAAAAGGTAAACGTAGCACAGTTTCAATTTCCAGTCATTTCATCGTCTTCACACCATTCAGTTCACTGCTAAATTGAGTTTGAATGAGCTAATGAACCACTGCATCATCTAGTCCACTTTCTGACAGAATTTTCCGCGAAAAAATGAAATTAGTATACATCCCAAATAAGATCGTTTAGAAACTGAACCGTTAGATCAGCATCTAAATTCAGGACAACCAAGGTGGATATCATGCCTTAAGATTTCCCCATATATCGACAGACTATTTCTCAACAATCAAAACTAGCGCTGAAAATAATTTCTATTGTTCAATCCAAAACCCACCTGTAGCTAAACAGGTAAAACATTCCCTGCAAATGCAGACACTTGGATTACTCCTTCTGGTGCTATATATAAGTTACAAGTAACTGAATTACGTAAATCCAAAAGTTGGTTAAAATGGATTAAAAGCAATAAATATGTAGAAATCGAAACCCCCCCCCCCAAATTATACCCTTATTTATGAAAAGGGTGATTGAGAGAGAGAATGAACGGGAAAAGAGATGAGAGAGAATTAATGAGGGGGGAAGATTAGAAAGACGTAATTAATTGAGGGTAAAATTGGAAAGAATGAATTAAATTTTCAGAGAAATGAATTAAATACAAAGTGTAATTAATATAAAGGACCAGCTTTACTAAAAACATTGAACTTATACTTAGAACCAGAGGGAGGATAATCTTAAAAGTAACATATTTAGGCATTTGGATAAAACAATACTTATGTTGAATTCCTTGGAAAACGGAAATTCCCTGCCAATAGCTTCCTGCATTATTTGTTGCCATTACAAGCTTCTTATGCTGGCAAAATACCATCCATCCTCAAGAGAATATTCCTTAATGATCCCTACCTCTTTATTTGGTTAATTGCCCGCTTGAATTACCTAAAGTTATCATGAAGGGCCACCACAATCAGATGGTGGCAAATTGATTGAATTACTGCCTCTGGCCTGTAACCACCTTTGCTTTTAATAATTTTCCAGTAAAACCACTAATTCTTATTTTCTTAATTGCAACCTCCATTCCTCTCAAATTTCCAAATCATGAGCTTTCGAAACTTTAATAAGCTGGAAACACCATACATGCATTTGCAGGTTTAGATACAGGATTGATTAGCTAATTGGGCAAAGCTACTGTTGTACGGTACTCCCTAATAAGGCCCCAAAATAAGCATTTCAAAAATGGAATTCTTCCCCACTTAATTCACCAAAACTGGTGCAAGATCCATCTGCCCCCCCTCCTTCTTCCATCAACGACTGATGTCCTCAACTCTTGCCCCTACTCTCTCCTCCTAGCTATTTAGAGTCATACAAGTAGAATCCATCTGGATATTTTGATACTGACATTGCAATAACCTCTTCCTTCAACTTTTCTTCTGATTGTTCCTGACAAGGAAATAAATCAACCAAAGCTTCTAGAAATGGCGTGTTCCTCAATTTGGTCATACCTTTTTTTTAGACTTCTCTTCAACTACATGTAAGAATTCAGATCTTCTTTAGCTTCCAGTTCAGCTGAGAATCCAATCATGGACGAAGGATAATGTTTATTCTCTGGTAGGTTCGTCCTCTATTTACCCACTCTTTTCACTTCCTGCCATACATTTGGACGTGGATGCAGCATTAATGGTTGGTCTCTGGTAGGTTCCTTTTCCACGTAGCTAGCATTGTATACTATGGAGTACCCTTCATAGTTTCCTTTGTCTCTTCCAAGTCCCTTCTACAGTTCATCTCTTGGTTCTTGTCCTCCATCAAGAACCTAACGACACTCCAAGAACGATATGAAAATATAATGGAATTAACATGACAAAAATCCAGGCAAATCACCAATGACAGATGCCTTTACATAAACATGACAAAATATGAAGAAAATATTATACAATGCTAGCTATCTCTCAAATCCACTCCATGACTTTCCCATGGAGTTATTAAGCCTTTGAGAGGCCAAATCTTCCTGTCCTTATAAGCCTTCCTCATAACAGAATGGCCTAAACTGAAACTCACTCAAATATTGACATGACCCCTCCTTGATTATCCAACTAAATCTGCTTGAAAGCTTCATTTCAAGGAACCCAAAGGAGTTGTAAAGGTAAATGCCTACTTGTTCCTTAATTTTTCTCCAGTTTGTCAGACCAAACAAAAATCTTCAATAATTGCATACGCCCAAAAAAACCTCTCCCTTTTCTCTTCTCAAACCAATTATGGATACCTCCAAATTTCATGAACAAATACCTTGCTCATAATAATTTTCAAGATTCACATCGTCCTCATGGCCAAATAGCATAACCTAAGATTACAAGTCCGCAAACTTCTAAAGAAGATCGCACATGAAAGTAGTTCGTGAAATTATATGCTGTCTCTGCGAAATTGTATCCCATCCTGCCATGGAGTAGTAGAACTTGAAGAATATTACCTAATGCTGCCACGGGTCTGGTTTAGTGTGGCACTCACCACAGCAGAATATAGAAAAGTGAATGCGAGCTTGACTATTTTCTATGAGAAAACCACTGCAATAGGGTCAACGGTCAAACTTCTCCAAGAATAATAAATTTACACAACTCACCCACAAGACTCGGAAATTGATACTGTAGATCACCAGAGTTACATAAGCCTAAGCAAATAGACATAGTTCCTTACCATTTCATGGTATACTACAACCTCAGTATTGACAGGCACACGGGCATATCAGAGTGGAAATACTAGTTTTTCAACCTATTAATACAGCAATCAGTTGATTTTTGTTCTCAGTAACACGATCATGAAGTACTAGGTTCCAGAACCAACATGAGCCTTACAAAGAAAGAATAACCGCTATTTTCTGAATATCCAAATAAAATCACACCAAATCAAGAGAAAAGACTTTGCTGGACCTCTCAAGTCTTGATAAGTAACAGGTCAGTTGTGTTAAATCTATCAAATACCACAATCCAAGTATGCTTCCATGTATAGAGTCAAGGCTGCTGCTGCCAAACCAAGCCAAGTATGCTTCCTCTTTGATCTATAAGATTCCCAAAGACGCAACTAACAAACAAGGAGATAACATTGTAAAGTGAAATACCTGCACATACTAAGCCAGTAAGCCTGATTCAAAGTTGAAAGGACAGGGAAAGTTTTTTCTTTTTCTTTTTTTTTTTTTAAAAAAAAAAAGAAAAGAAAAGAAAAGAAAAAAAGACGAAGCTGAAACATACTCCAGGTATTTTGTGAAAAAGACATAGGTATGGAAACAGCTTCATTGTGACCAGCAATAAAAGCTGCTAACGCACATGCCTTCTACTCTTCATCTATCCCACATATTATCCCCATCATATTCTCATGCTCCAGAATACAGCGAAGAAACAGAAGGAGTCCAAAACAAGTTGGCTGTGAAGCCAAATACATGTACACATTGATTTTGGGTTCGATATGCGCTTGGGTGGGAAGAAAAGAATAATAAGCTCAAGTGCTCAACAACAGGATGAAAGGCCACACAAGAAATTCTCCAAATATTTCCATTTCCCAGAAAATGCTGAAAACCAGCAAATTCTCATGCTCCAAAAAGTAGACAAGAGGTTGTCCCACCTTTAGCTGTGCAAAGCATGCAATCACAAAGAAAAAGGTAGAGAAGACAAAGTAACGGAACTAAAATAAATCGAGCCACAACGATGATTCGTACTAGAAGTGCTAATTACGAAGTGGGAAGGAAAGTAAAAACAATACCTGAAAATGTAAGCTGTTGAGGCATCTACCAATCTGACGGAATAATGGAACCACACAACGCTGAAATTCTGCTGGCTGGGTGGCCTCTAAGACTTCCTCCAATTCACCGAGGAACATAACTTCCTTTGAGCTATTAGTCACCGGCCAATACTTCAAAAGTCCCCTAATCACAGTATCAGCTAACTTGACATCTTTCTCAACAAACTGAGTAATGCAATATGAAAGCTGCTGATGATACATCGATACACACTTGGGCTTGTGAAGGGGAATCAAGGCACGGACAAGAAATAACTTATGCTCTTCCTTCAAAGGCAGAGCAAATCCATTAATTATGCTGCCCAATATCTCTAGCAACTCTGCGATTCCATTGTGTTTCTCTGTCTCAAATATGAACCGATAAAAGATATTGTTTATCGCTTTTCTAATGAATGGCCGATGCACCATGAACTTTCCATAAATACGGTGGAGAACAGTCTTCAGGTAGTCCCTCTCTCTCTGGTCCTCGGAGTCAAATAAGTCAAGCAATCTCAACACAAATGAATGATCAATGTATCTTTTAGCAAGTTTTGCATCAGTCTCTGGTGAAGATACAAATCTAAAAAGAAATTCATACACGATTTGCAGATGTGACCAAGCTGGTTCCAAAGCAGGTTCTTCCTCCTCAACATCATACAGATCTGCTACCTTACTGTCATGATTGGGAGATGGTAAAGTTCGAAATAAATTGGCTGCCACCATCCTTGTGATCTCCTGCATTGCTATGTCATTAAACTTCGAAGATACAGAGGAAAGATACTCAACAAGCTCAAGCAAAGTTTGCCGCTTGATGTCCTTCTCTTTAAGATTTTTAGCAGGATCACTAAAATCAAATACAACACAACAAATGTTCAACTTTTTAAGGAACAAATTTTGTTTTTCTGAGTTAGGAACATCACGAAAGCTTGGCAATGCCTCATAAACTCCAGGAGCCGTTACAGAACCCACTTGCGTCGTAGAAGCTGCAGCTGATTTCTTAGGATGATTTGTTTTATTTGAACTCGTTGCGAGAATCCCATTACCTGGCCGCAACCCGTCCGAAGGAGAATTTGAAGATTTTGAAGAAGCTGAATTGGATTTCAAGGCACTATTGGAATTGGACCCAAACGAAGAGTTCACAGACAATGCACCATTAACCCCTCCATCACCGTTCGAATCACTGTGGGATGACTTTGGGGCCTTGCGTTTCCCGAATATCTGCTTTATCATATCTAGAACACCCAACACCAGAAAACCCCAATCCTGATCTTCTACAACCAAATGAAAGCTTCTTCTACCTTGAAAAGGCTTACAATAATTATCATCATCACAATAACCGATCAAGTCACATCAATGAAAGCATACCCAGCCACTGTAATCAGAGACCAACATGGACATATATCCAAAAACAGGCAAAAGTCCTCCTCATGAAATTTAGAGGATTCTCAGTGCACGGAGCAGACGGCGAAAATTCGACGGTATTAGCGAGAGAGAAGCACTTACAATGACGGTACAATTGATAAGATCTCAAGAAAATCGAAGAGAAGAGACCGGAAATCACAGAGAAGGCCCCAAAAAAAAAACCCTAAGGAAAGAAAGAAACTCTGCGTGCTCCTAAATTTGATTAGCACAACAGCGAAGTAGTAACAGAAACGAATAGAATAAATACAAGATGAGAAGGAAAAAAGGAAAAAGCGGAAAAAAGCCGAGCTTTTTGAATTGAAATCCCAAGTCCACGCTCGCCTGGTGAAAAGGGGCGAGGGAAAAGACTTGAGCTTTTTGCTTGTTTATGTGAAAAATCATGGATGTGTTGAGTGGAAGCCAAACATTATGGTAAATGGGACCCAAGAGGCATCATCACGGAGCGTAAACGAAATAGTCCGCATTATCTTAATCCTGTGGATTTCAAGGGGTTGACTGTGTCGGATTGATATGGTCAATTTTGATCTTCCCCTGACCCTATCAAAGATTAGCCATGCGTACAGAAGCGCATCTTGCCATTTAAAATATGTTAATCACTCATATTTAAAATAGCTTATAAGTAGTTTTTCAATCGTAATTTACAGAATACGAAATAAGTATATAAGAAGAGTTTTATTTCAACTTATATAAAACATGTTTATAAATGACTAAGTCACTAAAATATTGTTGTGGGATAAAGCTAAAATATTGCTTCTATTTTTAAAATATACACTCAACAAAACAGAAGAACATCTAATATTAGATTTGATGCTAGCAATAGGAGTGACTTTGCTGGAGAAAAAAAAAAAATCGGAGAGGTGTAAATACCAAGTACCGACGGAAGTTCAAAGAATTTCAATGGCTAAAACATTACGGAATTTTAGTATTTAGGAATAAAAGTAAAATTATATTTTTATATAAAATGACTAAAATGCTTTTATTTTATTAAAATAAGGTCAACGACAGTGAGTAATTGAAGCTCCAACTCTAATGTGAGCTACCAACTACTAGAGAATATTTATTTTAAATATGTAATATCTGAACTCTTAAATTAGTTAAAACGCAATTCCTAATCCCTTTCTATTTGATAAATTAACCCTACATGACGGAAGAGTTTGACGACTCTCATAAAAGAAAATGCTGCTGTGTCTTCCAAATAAGTTTCACGTAGCTGGGATCTCGCTTTGTTGAGCTTCGCTAAAAAGACTGTATAGTCGATGCCAAAAGATGGAAGAAGAGAGAGAGAGAGAACGGGAATAACGAACAGAAGTGATGGAGTTAAGAGATAGGAGAAGAAAGGTATTTTGTGAGCACTTATGATGATTATATATTCATGGTTTCTACTTTCAGAAGCAAGGAATGGTGAGGGAAGGATTTATAATGGAAATTCTAAGCTCAGATATATTCAATAAGATCAAGAATATAAAAGGGAAGCAACATATCTCTACTCAAAAGATATTAGAAAACAGAGAATAAGAGTGGCAGAAGAGAAGAGGAGATCCAGTCAGGCAGTCACAATGTTAGTGTAACTAGTTAGGGAGAAGAGGACGCAAGAGAAGAGAGGAGACTTCACATAATTCATTGCACATCCTTGACAATGGCAAAAATGACTTTTACTTTATATGATTTTTACAAATATAAGTTAGGATTGATTTATGCTTCAGCTGACTTTTATAAAAATCAGTTTGATAAATTAGAACTTATTTAGGCGGATAATAAAAAAGTAAATTTGGACTAAAATAATTTGACAAAGAACATGAATTTTAAAACGACTTCTAAACTCATATGTAATATAATGATACACATAAGTATTTTAGAGAAATCATATAACATATAATATAACTAAGTAATTTATTTAACTTTCTTAATCTGTTCAAATAGTATATCATATAAATTAAAATAATTACATTTTTAGTTAACTTTTTATTTGTATAAAAAATGAGAGAATAACAGAAAAAGAAGCTGAAAATTACAAATCCTAAATCAGATTTAGTATCACAACTTTATTTAGTATTGACAATTCTAAATTTACAAATAACAACAAATTTTTGTTGATATTCTTTATTTGGCATTTACAAAATTCCAACTTTTTTTTTTTGGTCATTGTCCCTAAAAAAATCAGATTTATTGTTTCTTTTCCTCCCCGTGACTAACTGAAGTCGCTCGAGATTTTAACTTTTGCTTCAACATGGCTTTTTCCTAGAAGCTCATTTATTTCCCTTTTGATTCCAAACATCACTTCATCCTGCAAATGAGACAATGACACGCGTACATTTTCTAAGGCATGTTTCAGCCTCTCAACATTACTGACATTTTATTATGATGTCAATCTTACAAATGAATGCCAACTTTAAGGTATTTCATGTAATGGCTTACTTTTCCATATAGTATTGGCAAGAGCCCTAAATTCTGATTTCCAACATTAAGCTACTCTGATTACATATTATTGATTACCACCACAAAGCTAGGTCAGGTTAGGTACACTGCAAGTGTTTCTTGGCACCAAGCATATTAAATCATCAAGGACAAACTCCTTTAGGGATGAGATAGGCTAAAATGAAATCATGACTTCAACTGGCTAGATCATGGCGAGCCCTTTATAATTACAGAGAGAAGTCACTGCATCATCATTTTAAAATGAGGAACAGCCAGAGTCAATCCTAGATTCTGCCTAAAATATGAAAAATCTGAATTCTGAGTTCTGAGCTGTAGGATTACTCTGGAAAGTCAGCTACTAAACTCAGGCCAGTTACTTCTGCTTGATAACAACTGCTTCAAATATGCCATCAGACCTAAAGTTAAGTGCCAAAAGTCTTGGATCAACAGGTCCCGGAAGACTAAAAGAAAGGGTGAACGGTCCAGGAGGGCATAAGTGCTGGATTTTCATCTGGAAAACACGTGAGTTTTTCTTTATAGTTCTTCCACCACTTAACAAACCTTGGATATGAACCCTCCCATCGGATTCAACCTCACAATTGAACTGACTAGCTACAAAGTAAATTGAAAGTTGAAAAACTAATCAAAATGAATGTATGAGTCAACTGCTTAAGGATACACACAAAATCATGATTGAATACACGTGTTGGAATGGATAGTTGTAATAAGCAAAATTAAAAGTGCATAACAACTGATCTTCACTTACAGTTTACTAACATGTGTTCTCTATAGCCGCTGCTAAGAATTCTGAGATTCATAACCACTCACAGGTTCTCAACAAAATGAGTTCATTCATGATATAACAAAACACTTAAATGAGGCCCTACAAAATTAGAGGCTGCGTACTATTGACATGGATGCCCTTTGGCAGAAAATTAAGAAAACATGGCCTCCTTTTTTTTTGGCCAAAGCCTCCTGTATTAATATCTTCCGAACTAAGGAGTATCTTCTGTTCATCAATCTTGGAAAAGCAGCTTTCCGGAAAATAAATGAAGGGCAACAAAAGACGAGAGAAGGAAAGATCAATAATAGATGAAGACATTGTGTGTGTGAGAGGGAGGGAGGGAGATACCGTGATCTTTCATCACCCCAGGTAACGAAACTCGGAAGAGATATGCGACTTTGCTGATACCAATATCCACAACACCAACAGGTGGGCCTAATAATCCTCTTCTGGCTGTCCCGGCTAAATGAAGAGAAGCATCTATATCACAATCTTCTGCGTCCGGAATACGAAGAACGGGCATCAACGTAGGTCCATTGGATTTGCAAACCCTCTTGGAAGGATCTCTCTTGCCATGCTGTTTTATAGGAAATACACCAGGATATTCTGTTATTGACGGAGAATCAAGAATACACTTCTGCTTGTGCTTTTGTTGAAACTGAGGGCATTCCTCATTTGAAATAGTTGTCTGATCTTTGTTGACGTGCTTATGTTCAACTTCCTTGCCTGCTTGAGAACCAAGTTGCGCATGTAGACATGCATTTATATCAATCTTCAAACTATTCACACCAGTCAAATATCTGAATCTCTTAATATCCTCCTGTTTCATGTATGACGCAACTGGATCAATGATTAAAACAACCCCTTTAACAATTCTGAAGCTATCAGGGTACCATATCTGTTCATGAAGATTCAAAGGAAAAATACTTGTGAACTGCTGACACTCCTCTACTGACCCACAACTAGGCAATGATAACTCTCCCTTTAGATACATATGCAGCAAATTTCTCTCTAACACTTGGTCAGGTTGAGCATCTCTCAGGACAAAATAATATAATCTCTCCAGCAGAGAGATGCTAACATATGAAGGTCCCAGAGCACTCAAAGTATATGGTGGCAAACCTGCCCCTAGTCTTTGAGCTGCTGAACATCTAGGCTCATCAGACTTGACATCAGGTCCCAAATAAGTACTCATGATGAAGTTGAGAAGAAATTCAGCATCACTAATCAATGGTTTGACAGATCTCCTATGGTAAGTCTTTCCATTCAAACCCAAGTCAAACTGACTATTCTGTGCACTCATCTGTTCAAAAATATAAATCCAGCTTTCATAACTAATCTCTTCTGGAAAACAGTGAGAATGCTCAGTGCAATAGGTATCAGTAATTTGCCTACATCAAGCAAAATTCATATAGATGAATTATCAGGGTTACCTTGCAATGAATGAAAAGTATGACAATAAGAGGAAAGCCAGTTGTTCAATACTTTTGCATACCAAGGGGTCTGAGCTTATAAAGTAAAAGAGTCATGTATGACCAACCATTCGAATTCAGATCATAGCACTACTCTTGTCACACTCCAAAAATTTAGGTATAACTGGCCCAAAATATGAGAGAACCCACTACCCTTAAGCCTTGCATAAATAAAATTCATCATTTGCATTTTATAGACAAACTCACAATACAAAATATAAAGTTTTGATACATTTCATATAAACAGTCACAAGCTATTTATAGAAATTTCAGCGACATCTTCTCCATAAATGGGACCTCCCAAAACTTCTACAATATCATGCTCAACAACAATTCAACATAAGGAGCTCTGCTCCATGCTAACACATCCATGCTAACACATATACAATGTTAAATGAAGGCAAGGAACCTAACTATAGCTTACATGGGGCACCTAAAACAGGATTTTCAATCCAAATTTAAAGGAACAAAAATAAAAGAGGAATACTAGTATTATAGTTACAAAATTTAAAAAAAAGACAGGGGTACGTACTTCATAACCCAAATAATTTCATGTGAACATTTATATCATATATAGACTAATTGCATGACGATTAAATTTAGCTTCTAAACTACAATGATGTAAAACAGTTAAGCGATATAGATAATTAAATAAGGAAAGGCCACAAACGACCTTCAGATACGGTGTTGATTCCGACTTATATTCACTCCTTGACCCTCTAAAGTCCAAAACAAAATCACTGTAATTCCTTCTTCAAACTTTATAAAACCATAATCTTCCATTTAGTTAAAAGACATCCACTTACTTCATATTCACTATCTCGTAACTAATCTTAACATTCTACCTTAAATTCATGTTCCATAAATCTTTTAACTATAGCCTCCAACAACTTCAGAATCACAACCAAAACCCACAACATAGGATAATTTAGAGAACCAAAAATTTTTTACTTCAACAATCCACGTATAAAATGCCACATTGATTTTGTTCAATAATTCGCATAATTATTGTGTGTGTGAGTTTGTATATAAATAAAATATCCATGTTTCTCCAAATTTCAATATAGAAAAATAAATAACTCTTCTACTATAAATTATTCAATGCTGTCACCAATAATTTCCATTCCTCAATTCCATAAAGTTCCATTCAAGGACATTTCATCCGGCACTTTGCAATTTCCATGCACCCCAAGACTAAGATAAGAATAAACAAATTTAATCACTGAAATTTCCCAATAATATTCTTTCCAACATCATTACGAAGTTATAAAGTTTCCAAATTTTATTTTTAGCAAGATTTAAATAATAGTCAACCCAAAATAAAATCTAAATTTTTATCCAACATCAAAACTCCGCCTATATAATATAACCGGTCCCAAACCCAGATAATCGAGGTGGGTTGTGTTAGGCTCTCAACAACAGCCAACTTAAAAATCTGTCGAATCTTGCAAACCTGAATCAAAACATTATGTAGAAACACGTCCATAAAAGCCTCTTTCTTTTCAACCGTTTTATCAAACGCCCATTGTGCAGTCAATCTGACAAACTTCAAGAATATTTCTCTTAAAATCACAGCCCCAGACTTCATACATTCAAACTATAAATCCAATTCCATATAATCACCAAACCTTGCAACAGAAACCAAGCAAAATTGGAAGAAAACCACAATTTCCCAATCCACATACACGACGGAACCGGGGGGGGGGGAGCAGGACGCAACAGTCCGCACCAAACATATATGGCAGCATTCTTGAGGGAAAAAACACAGAGATTTGGACATACCCTGAAGAAAGGAACACGGCAGCGTCGAGAAACAGGAAGAAGAAGAGAAGCTCGAGATCCCACACAACGCTCCGCAACAGCGGCGAAACAGAAATCAGCAACGAGGAAGAAGGAAAGGAGAAGATTAGGTGCGATCACTCCCTCAACAATGGCAGAAGAGCAGTGAGGAATGAAGGGCTCTGCTTTTCGAATTCCCCGTTTTGCAGATGAAGCTCTAAAGCTCCGCGGTCGAGACTCGACACTGTCAGGACTCACTGCTCTGCACCAACAAAGGATGCGTGACGGCGAAGGGTCGGCTTCACCAGACACCCGGCTCAAAAATACGCCTTTCCTTTAACCAAAAAAAAAAAAATCTCATCTCTCAAAATAAATTTAATTCTTAAATATGATATTTATTTTATTTTATTTTCTTTAATTTACTCTTTAGTCCTAAAAACCATTCTATTTTTTTTGCCATTAAAAACCATTATATTTTTTAAAGGTATTGTTAGAACTTCAACTAAATTAGATTTAAGGGTTTAATTTAAAATATGACAATTTTAACTATTTTAGATATTTAGTATTATCAAGAAATGTTTAATTTTAATTTACTTGCTATTTTTTAATCATTAATTATTGTTTTGAATTTAATTTTATAATTTTAAAATAATCTATTATTGATTTCTATTTATTTTTAGGGTTAGATTTAAACTTATGAATAATACATAAACATATATGCTTTCTCCATTTTATAATTTGATTAAATAGTAGACTGGCATAACATAACACAACAACAACAAAAATCCTTGATGCAGGAAAGAAGGGAGAAAAGATGTGAATGAAGAGAGAGAAGAGACGAAAAGAGAGGAGCCTAGAAAATATCAATTCTTATTCAATCATTAAATGGAAACCCTAACATTTTTTTATAAAATTTCTAGAAATATAAAATAATAATAATAAAATCCTAAAACAAATCCTAATCATAATTAAAGAGATAATTAAAAAATATTAAAAGATAATTAATATAATGAATCCTAATTTTAATACATAAATATTCTTATTCAGATCCCTAATGGATATCATTATTAATCTAATTAAATCATAATTATTTCTTATTCCATACTCTATCAGTCCTACTTACAACAATCACACCATGCATGGTTCAAAGCATAATTCTACAAAAATACATGTGTGAGAATCATCATTTAAGCAAGATTGAAAATGTAATAACAAGCGAAGAACTATGCTCAACAAAAAAATGCGTATGTTATAATATTCAGCCACTGAATAAATTTAAAAACATATAAAAAAATATTCTACAATTCTTAATATAAAACCTAATTGACTAATTTGAAAAGATTAAAAAAATTACTAAATTATTTAATTATAACATATATTATATGATCTGTCTAGAGGACTTATGTAGATCATTAAATTATATATTAATTTATAAGTAAGATAAATTAGTTTTTAAAAAATAATATATATAAATAATTTAAAGTAATTTTGTAACTTCTTTAATTTTTTTTCCAAATTAGCTGACTTGATCATGGAAGGAGAGATGGTATAAAAGATTTAATTTGTACACCGTCAAGTAGTTGTTCCAACTATTCGCATTGCTTGGAGGGGGCTAGACTCTCCATTATCAAACTCATCGTCTAGATTTGCCGATGAACTTATCATCAGTGCTGTCGCCATCTATCGACATCTTCTTCTTTACACACTACACGCCAACCACACTGCCCTATTTGAAATTTTGAATTCTCCCGCATGAAAAAAAAAACCATTTGAAGTGGTTGTCCCACAACAAATGAGGAGGAAAAACGAATGTAGATGATACATAGTTGATGACGACATCTGGACTGCATAGAAGTGCAGCAGAAACGGTACGGATCTGGATATTCATTTCCAGAAACTCTGCATGTCCAACCAAGGATGTCAAAAGCACCATAACGTTTCGCAGAACAATCCAAATCAGGCTTGTTTGCTATGAATGACACATTTCTTGGCTCAAGAGAGAAAATTGAGAAACCTTCCCCGCAAAAATGACTTTGATTGTAAAACCATGATGGCACTTTGCTACCAGAAATAGTTAATATGCGAGTAGGTTGCATGAAGAAGTGATCCTATGATGCAAAATTATTCATGTTAGATATATAATGATGAGATAAGGTGCTTAAATACCCTGAAAGTATCTATGAAGGAGCATCCAGCACTTAGAATTTTTTTTTTGTCAACTCTTATATGCCATGAAAGTTTTTCTTCAAAGCAAAAATACCCAAACCGTGATTTGCCATCAAGTTTGACAATAAAATTATGTAATTTAACTAAAGTTTTTAACGGTCAAACTTAACAGCAAATAATGATTCAGAGTGGAAATGCTATGAAATAAACCTTTCAGGACATATAAGAGTCCCAAAAAAAAAATTTTAGATGCTGGGTGCTTTTTCGTGAATACTTCCAAGGTGATTAAGTATCTCATCGATCCCTATAATAATTAATGTGCAAGAAATAGTGAAATAAGAAAACCAAATAAACTATAAATTCAATAGATTCAAATAACTTACAATTTGTGAATTGTTCCAAGTCAAAATTGCACCGGATATGTCAGTTAATCGGTGAACTGTCCATTCATCGTCGTCGTCATCATATGAGTCTTGACATATTGGCGTCTGTAACAAAAAATTTGACATGTTATAATGACTAATGTGAAAGAAAGAAATAATAGTGATAGAGAACTAAAATAAACCTGACATTCAAAATTCTCAATGAATTCCCATAGTTGCTGTGGAGATACATAATGTTGCAATGATAGACAATCACTTGCTTTTATCATTAAAAAGCTTTTTATATATAAACAAGCCGTAGACTTATCGAATTCGTAGTGGTAGGGGGAATAATTATATTACCTCCGGTCCTAATTATAAGAGCCAGTTGAGTAATTTAAGGAGATTAAGAAAGTAAGTTAAATTAGTTATTTGTCCTAAATAGGTGTTATCTTTCTTAAAATATTCTTGCTAATCAAGTGTATTGACTAGAACTATCATTGTTAAAAGGGCTACTTGGGAAAAAATGTATAAATATGAAAGACAAAGTGGATTTGGGTCTTATATTTAAGATTAAAATAAAAGTCAAATAGAGTCTTATATTAAGGACTGGAAGTAGTATAAAGTATTATGCAGCATATGACTTTACAGGGATTATATATTTATAAATTTCAACAGTCAACAGTGGCAAGTTGGTAACTACACGTACATTTTAGTCTTTGAAATAATATACAATAAAAGTGCTGGCAAAAAGAGAAATAATATACAATAATAGCCGGTTCGTCCAGCAAGAAAGCCTACCAGCAATTTGTTGACCATTTATTGGCAAGGTTTTGAATTGATTGGCTATGAAACGGTTCTTATCAAAATTATCAATTAAGATTTCAATTTGAAAATACACTTATCAAACAACTTTTGGAAATCTAAAATCATGTCATAAAACTTAAAAAAGATCGAACTGCGCAATAATACTATGAATTTTCAAGTTTCAAAAAAAATTATATTGTACATTAAATATATAAAAATAATGTAACATTCAACTATCCAAAATTAGTATAAATTATTCATATAACACACTAAATACACAACGATTTGTTTTGAGAGATGCCAAAGATTCAAAACTAGATATGAAATAGTATCATATACTTTAAAATTTAAAAAAAGAAATTTAATATGAAAATTTCAATAAAATGATAGTTGAATTTGTAAAACTCCAAACGGTCACCTAAATTTGTGAAATTCCAAATTAGTTACATTAATTAAATTAGAATTTTGAAATACTGGTGAATTTACAATGTTGCCTTTTAATTTTTTTTCTTTTTAAAAACCTTGAAGTCAACCTCACCGTCGCTAGGCGCCGAAGTTCAGGTGGAATTACAATGAAGTAAACCTACCTCTTGTTATCATTGTCGAACTCTCCCTGTTGAAACCAATTATTATTCTAAGTTAGAGGTGGTCAAGCAAGCTGATCCACTGGTTACAGGCCGGCCAGCCAGCCACGATTTGAAACTCAAGCTTGGCGAGCTAATATTTAGTTAGCCCGCCCCTGCAAAGGACCCGCAACTTCCTTCTTTTTTTTTTCCAAACAAAGTTTTTTGTATATTTTTACATATATATTTTAAAATTAAATTATGAACTTTTATAGATCAGATTCTCCTTATTTTTATATTTTCACATAATTATATAATTAAAATAATCTTAAAACTTGAAATGTAAACATATAATTCATTTTTAATAGTTATTGTATCAATATTAAAATAGTAAAATAAGAAATTAAATTTAGAATCAAAATCTATAACAAAATACAAAGCTATATAAAAATTAAGTAAAAATGACAAAACATTTCTAATCACAATTATAATAAAATTGTAAACAAAATAAAAACTTAATTTTTTTAAAAAAAAACGGGCTAACCCGCGGGTTGGCAGCTTAACACATGGCAGGCTGCGGATTAGTGGTTGTGGGCTAAAAAAGACAATATCCAAGCAGTTCCTATTTTCTTCAACTCAACCTTTACTATGAGTATAAATAAGTGTATTAAAAGCTGGACCATACTGGTCGAGTTGGACCAAAAACCGATGACCCGCCCACTCATCCGGTCCGGTTAATATGCTAACTCACTGGAACGTTGACTCAGAGTAACTCAGGGTAAACCGGCATAACTCGAGACTAAACCGAACAAACTGTTAGGTTGGTCGGGCTACCGAGTTAATCTTTTTGGCCAGCAAACAATGAAAGGAGGATGCCACAGAAGGAGAAGAGAAGGTGGAAGAAGAAATGTTGCAGAAAACTGGATTCATTGGATAATGGAGAAAAATAAAATGCAGATGATCGATACCTGTAAAAAAGTAGAAGATTGAAGAAAAAAAAGTCTGAACAAAGACCTGCAAGGGAAGAAAACAGAAGGAACGAAGAAGGAGAACTGGAAGAGAGACATTGAGATGGTGTCATCGGCAACTCTTGGGAGAGAAACGTTGAATATGTTGGCCGCTAATAAAGAAGAGAACAGGAGGATAGTAACCATTGTGTAATAACTGTTGGACATTTTATGAAATTCTCAAGTTTTTAATTTTTTATTGTTTCCTCAGTTTGAAAAAAATCACCCCAAGCCTAAGATTTTTTTTTTTTTTTTGCCTGAAGCCTAAGATAATAGATTAATGATGTCAAGTAATAGGCAAGTACATTTGGTGTAGAAGGAGCGGGTAAAAACCTCATTTTTGATGAATAAGCACAAATTATTTTTTATTACTTATAAATTTATATCTTTTTTATTTAAAT